TTTTTTTTTTTTTTTTTTTTTTTGCACGTGTATATATTTTAAGGGTCATCTCAAATATTCTCCATTATTCTATGGGTATTACAGTAGCGATAGATTTGCTAGTCGGGATAATAATTACAATATTCCACTATCATATTTCATTATTACACTTTTTATTTTTGGCTATAGTTTTTTTGCAATTCTTAAAAAGTAAGTTTTTTAATTTTTGTACAATAAGATACAAACTGTACTATTATTTTGCACAGCTGTTTTTTTTTATTTTTTATTTTTTCTATCTAATATTTTTGATGAAAACCTAAACAACGGCCACCCAAAACAACAGTACAAATAAACCGATACCAAGACTTAGATAAAATCACTTTTTTACAATGTTGTCAAAAGCAAATAGATAACCTGATCTATCTACCGCACAGAATGGCTGCTAATGCTCGTATGAGTAAGATGGCGGGTAGTAAAGCTGAGCAATACGTTTTTAATTGGAAAGTTTTCACCGGTTGGGATTATACTATTGGTAATCCAGATGCTGCAAGTAACACTGTTATGGCAATCATCATAAAACTTCGGGTTTGGTTTTTTTCCCCTCAACAGAAGTTTTAACAAGATAACAACATTTACTATTGTAAGAAAAAAAAACATGAAAAAGGAAAATCTACTAAAAAGAACAACAGTATACGGTTGAACTAAAATGTAAACTTGTTTTTGGATTTAGGAATCAATCGCCGAATGCCGTGTAACAAAGATCAAACAGTTCAGGGGGTTGTTATTTTTAGCACGAGTATTTGCAAATGTGGTTATCATATTAATGCTTGCATTCTCCATTTACTGTATCTCATTTGCTGTCCAGGCTTCCACAACTGTAGAAATTACTGGAACAAAATTTAACAAAAATCAAGTATTAATTTTTTTTAATCTTATTGTCTTTCTTACAGATACAGTAATTGAATGTTACTTAGCTGAACAACATTAAACTTGGTCAACGTTGAACAGTTAAGAGCATAATAAAGAAAACGAACTGTTTATGCCAACTAACGACTATTTTAGGTGCCAGCAATAGTTTCAACAATTACACATGTCTTTCCAATGATTTTTGACCTTATAGGAAGGATGGAAAAATATCATCCAAGAACTGCATTACGGGCACATTTGACACGGTACAATAGTGTTACTTATTGACTAATGTCAAAAAAAAAAAAAATTGCAGCAACTACACAGGAATTTTTGTAGGCTAATCAATTTTTTTTGACATTTTTTGGTAATAAATTAATTAATGACTTGTTAATTATTTATTTACAGGGTATTAGTATTATATATGCTCAATTATATGACACTAATCATTAGTTTATTTGACAAAATCAACGAAATTCAAGGCAAAAATGATATAGACGGTCCAGGAAGGTTCACACGACAGCTCGGCGGTCGAAATCCTGTTTGTTTAAGCAAGAAAATTTTTTACACTACGCACTGCTCTTTTTCCTTTTCAAGCCGAATTTTACATTTAAGAACTGTTCTAGAAGCTTTTGAACACCGCATGTAATAATAATTTGGTTTACAGTATGTACCAAGGCCACCACCATTTGCTAGCAGAAACTTTAGTAATCGATCTCAAGCACAAACATTCCTGAATAAATCTATCAGTCGATTCGCCCCACTTAACGGATCATCGTCATCAACACCAACAGAATTTTTGAATACTACGCGATACTATCGACCAAATACTGCTCAGCCAAGAAAACCCAAAGAAAAGCCAGTAAAAGTCAGTGATACTGACGTACATTTTCAGCTTTTCAAGTGTAAAAAACAGATAAAAACAAAAAGTTTTTCCATATTTTATCTATTATTTCCATTGTCAATATGTTTTTTCTTTTCTTTTTCAATGCATACTTGCCTATCTGTAGGTTGTTTCTCAAAGCGGCCCTCATCAAATGACAAAACCATATGTCTTATTGAAGAACGAATCTGCGAACAACGAGACTCATAGCGGCGGAACGATACGTGTTGGACCATCGTTGGTTCCAACCTATTTTTCACCCCGAGCGGTAAATTTTACAACTGTTTATCATAAATTTTTTAAAAAGTTAATAGATTTGCTTTTTTTCTTTCAAATGTATAAACACAAGTGATCATCATTTCTTTTATTAGTGATTAGTTTAAATGTAGAAAATTTAATACAGCTTTATTCAACTTCACAGTGAATTTCGGCAGCTTTAGTGGAAACGTTTTTGCTAATGTGTAAAATAGTCAAATAAAATCTGTTGCTGAAGAAGTGTTCTAATTCAAATTGATTTTGGATTACAGAGCAGCAATTTGCTTAAATTATCATTTACTTAACACTTAATATTAAAGCTTAGTGTATTTTTTTTATCACTTGTCTACGTTTAATTCTGTTCAAGAATGTGGTATTAAAAAAGAGCTGAGTGAAGTTAAAGATAATAAAAACTATATGCTCAAAAAACAATTTTTAAAACAGTATTTTACAGTCATTAATATAACGGTTGTAATGTAAAAAATTTTCATTTTAGCACTTAGATTTGCAGTAAGCGTTTGAATGATTAGGGCGAAATATTTTAGAAGAACCATTACAGTGTGCCTATTTTAGTGTGAAATTTCGGCATTGTAATGATATCTGAAAGTCGGCAAATCATTTATTTTTGTATCCTTGTATTCTGTAGTAAAATCCAAGAGTAAAGAATCAGTTTTTCTTCTAAGGGTCATCTAAAAGGTTGGAATGCAACATTTGATGGCAACGAAACAGCGGTAAAAGTGAGAAAGATATCATCCATTGAAGATTTGAACACTGTCAAATACATACTGACATACAACGATGTTGGCGAACCCGTTGTACAACCGTTACCGAACGGTACCATATTTGATAGCTCAATACTTGAAGGTGCTATTTTGGATGGTGCAGTGATTGCAAATGTAACTTTTGCAAGTTTTCTCCCTGTTGATAAAACAACAACTGTAAGACTGGTTTTTCTTTCTTTTTTTGCCTTTAT